TGCCTTTTTGTCCTTCAGTAGCGGCAGCCTAAAAGGCAAGGCCATGGTGGTGAACCTCTCTGGGCTCACAGGGGCTCCCCTGGGGAAGGGTCTAGTTGTCACCCAGGTAAGATGAGGGGCAGCTGGCCGGCTGCTTGGAGTTGGTCTGTGGGCTCCCCCAAAGGGGTGGGGAGCAGACTGGAGCTTGGGAGCTGCTGTCCCTGAGGACAGGGTGTGGGCAGGTGACTGTGAACTCCTGCCTCTCCAAGAGGCTCAACAGCCCTGGCCAACACCAGTGGGGTAGTGGGAGGGAGTTGCTCCCCCAAGCCTGACACCCCAATTGACATCTTGTGCTGCCTTCACCCCCACCCCCAGCCCCCACAGGCATCTGAAACCACAGCTGCCTGTGGTGAGTCAGGCTGGAGCCTTCGGGGCTGAGCCCAGGTCCGTGGGAGGAAAGAGGGGGAGGCGGGAGCAGAGAGAGCTGTCCGCATGCCGGCCCCTCCCCCATGGTGGGGGGCAGCGCCCCCCCTCCTCTAGGCAGTGAATTCCCTCAGTGATGAGATGAGAGCTCCTGAGAGTTGGAATTTGAGCAAATACTGGTCACATCACCCACCCCACGGAGTGGAGTGGAATTGAGAGGCGGGGAACAGCCCACAGGACTCCTGGGTCCGGTCCAGCCTCCCCTCCAGGCAGCTCAGGTTTCAGCTCTGACTCCTGCCCTCCGAAGGGGCTCCACCCTCCGCGGCACAGCTGCTCTGCTTACACCATGGCCTCCTCTCCCAAGCTGTGCCTGTGATTGGACGGAAGGCCGGGAGCTTGGGGGTTCAAAGCAAAACCACCCCCCAGTCAGCTGAGCCTCTGCGCCACGACCTGTGTCAAGAGGGCAGTGTCAGACTCTCCTTTCCCAAGCCCCAACTCTGAGCTCCCCCACCCCACCCCTGGAATCTGAAAATCCTCATGTCTCACTGTGGACTGCAGGCCTGGCTTGATCCAGCCCCATGGCCTCTCATTCTCTCCTTGCTGGCCTCTTTGCTGTCTCTGATCCTTTGTACTTGCTGTTCTCTCTGCCTGGGTCACTGTCTCCATACTTTTGTCCCCTGGGGGCTCAGGTCTGTCTGGGCTCAAATTACTCCTCCTTCCTGGGGCCTGCAATAGGCTCTGCCTTCACCAGCTGTGACACTGTTCGTGAACAGCTTGCCTTCATGGTGCCTTGGTTCCATCACTGAAGGACACTGGGAGCCGGCACCCAGCACCTGCTCATGGCCTCCACAGTAGTGTGGCTCCCTGGAGGGGGCGCCTGGCAGGTCACAGATGTCCAGTACACACTGCTGAGTCAGGTGGGGAGGCCAGGAGGTCCTGGGGCCTTCCTGGGGGTGGTCCAGGCACTGCCGTGTCTGTATTGGTCCCTTGTGGTCGGTCTTCCCAGCCTCTCCCCAGCCTCAGCCCACCAAGCTTGCCAGAGATCCAGGTGAGAGGTTCAGCCTCTCGATTCCATATACCCTTGCCTATTTTCTCCAGAAACACCAATTAAAAACCAAGTTGCATAAGAGATATGGGTTCAGTCTCTGGGTCAGGAAGATCCCCCAGAGTAGGAAATGGCAACCCACTCTAGAATTCTTACCTGGAGAATTCCATGGACAGAGGAGCTCAGTGGGCTCCATAGGGTCGCAAAGAGTCAGACATGACTGAAGTGACTTAGCGCTTAGCAATGCAACTTAGGTGTTTTAAAGCAGTTTTCAAACATTACTTTCTGAGATATCAGTTATATGAAATTTTATGAAAGCATAGAAATCCTAGAAAATGGATTGAAAGAAAATCATTGAAATGTTAGCTGTGTTGTCTCTAAGCAAAAAGAAAAAAAAAAAGCCAGGTTGGGCAGGTGTGTGGATATTTGACCAGCAACCACTAAGGACTTTTAAGTGCTCTGTTGCCTGGCAGGGCTCTACCAAGTACAGGCCTGGGTTCCAGTTCTTGGTCTCTTTCCACCTGGGTTACCTTGGACAAGAGGCAGGCGCCTCGGAGTCCGTTTCTCATCTGAAGAGCCAAGAGGCTCCTCCATGGACCCTGGGGCCCCCCTGCTGGGTTCAGCCTCCCGGGGAAGGGGGAGGGGTGTCACTGTGACTCTGGGCAACTGACTGGACCAAGCTGTGCCTCGGTTTTCCTACCTGTAAATTGGATCCCCCTCACCAGCTTGGGGTGGTGCTGGCCTGAGGGGATGGCAGAAGAGGAATGGGGTGGGTGTGTAGGGTCAAGTCTCAGTTCTGTAGGCTCCAAGGTTTGGGTTCCATGCTCCCTTCCTGGTGGTAGGGGGGAAACTGATCCTGCACCCCGACCAGGGCTGGCCTAGCATTCAACATGCCCCTGGCTGGCCTCCATAATCTGGGAAAAGGCTGGTGGCTGCTGATGGGCTGGCTCTCATAGGGAGAGCAGGCGGGGCGGGGGTGGGGGTGCAGGCTGGAGGCTGTGGGCCAAGGCCATCCAGGCGTCTGGCCAGCGCTGGGCAGTGAGTCAGGGCCCAGGCATGCAGAGGGCCAGGGCCTCCCCTGGCCCCTGTGAGCTCAGGCACTTCCCCAAACCCACCCGTCGGGCCCCACTGGGCTGCATGCCTCACCCCCTTGCTCACTCCTTGAGTTGGTCTCGGGGGGCTGCCTGGGGAAATTGGACACGGCCCCTTTGAATCTTGTGTCCATACAGCCTCCCTCAAATGTCAGATGTCCTTCTTCTTGGTCACTGAGCTCTAGGCAGGCAGGCAATGCCTCCTAGGCCCCTCCCCGAACAAAGCCACTGCTTGGAGCGGGGTGTGATTATGGCAGGGGAGCAGATCCCTTCGGAAGGGGCTCAGGCTCTGAGCTGGGGCACAGAGAGAACTTTGCCTCTAACTGTTCCCACCTCCGATCACCAGCTTTCTCTCCCAGGAACTCTGTACCCATTAATTTGAACTAGAGGGAAATACACTTCTCTGCCAGCCCTGGAACCCTCGGCTGCGCCCCAGTCCTCTCAGGGCATGGAGCTCTCCTGGCACCTTCACTCCTGCTGGGGAGCAGGTGGAGGCTGGCTGTGTCAGCAGGAACGGCCATCACAGTGAAGCAGCTTATCAACTGACCCTGGCAGAAGACTCATGGGTTCCCGGCTCAGACTACAAGGCAGGGGGGTGGAGGTGGGGGTGGCAGCCCTGAGTGTGTCCACCCCCCCACCCCGTCACCCCCAGGGTTTTCAGGACAGGGGTTGGCTCCCGGTATCTAGAGGGTAGAGGCCAGGGTTACTGCCAGATTATACCATGATGTCCAGGGCAGCCCCCAGCAGAGTGACCTGACCCCAGCACTGCGAAGGCTGAGGCAGGAAAACCCTGGTCTAGGTCAAGTCTTTTGCCCTTTGGAGGCCAAGGGTACCAATGCAGGACTCTGCTTCTTTTTCACATCATAAAAAAATTCTGCCAACCTTGAAAATGAAAACAGCCCAGAAGGGCTTATGGGAACATATCCTTGAATATGTAAAGCCAAGCTCTTGGCATAAAAGCAGGGCCTCTGAAGTTCTGGGAATCTTGTGAGCCATATGGCCTGGGGATGCTTGCATTTCAGTGACACTAATAACCCCTTTTTGGGGTCTATCTCCTGGACCCCAACAGGCAGGATTACTTGCCCTAGGACCTCCAAGGGGTATGGGAATGGACTATTTTGATGCCCATTTGATGTACTCGGGTGCTGCTAGAACTTACTGTTCCTTCTGCCTAGAAAATCTCTGATCAAGAAATACAAATTGTACTTACTGTAAGTTGTACAGAGGTGCACAAAACCCAACACCCAGAGGTTCATGTAACTGCCGAATCTATTGGCTTCAGGCAGAGCTGTATCCAGGAGGCACTTGATGGCAAAGGGACCGTACTTCTCACTCGCTGCCCTCAGACAGGCAGGCAGGCTGGCCATAAACTTCCTACTTGTAGCAGTAGCTCAGTCACTGAGGATGGGGGTTAGGTGAATGCACTGATTGGCTGGCCCAGGCTTTGGCTGCATGCTGAATCAGTGAGGGTTTATTATGGGCATCTGTGATAGAAAAACTAAGAAAGACACACACAGTAGGTTAGCCCCTGCACCCAAGAAGTTTAGTATTGATATCCAGCTCCACCATCATCAGAGAACCAGGCTCTTCTCATCTCTAGAGAATTTCAACCCTCCTCATGTGGCAATACAGCTGCCAGGGCTCCAGCCATCACACCCAAATTCCAGAAAATAGAGGGGAAGGGAAAGGGGATACTCCCTTGCCTTTTAAGGAGAAGTCACATACAACACTTCTTTTTACATTTCATTGTCCTGAATTTAACTGCAAAGGAGACTGGGGAAAGTTGTGTTTTGACTTGGGCAGTTAAAAGGAGTTTCTTACCAAATGGTCAATGAGTATTAGGGAGGCAACCAGTGGTCTCCAATACACAGTCCACCCGTCCACCCTGGAGCCAGGGATGGGCCCCTATGTAACCTCTTTGTGACTAGCTCTTCCTTTCTAGTCCCAGCATGAACACCACCCCCATCCTCTGGGGCAGGTTCCCTTCCTGGCCGAGGCCCCACAGCACTCTGGATACTCTCTAGCCTGAGGGTGGCATCTGATCACTTCTGACTCCTCCGTCGGCTGCAGAGATCCTTGTCACCTTCACCTTGTGTCTTCACCTTGGGCACACAGCAGCACTCAGAGACTGAACGGATAAAAAAGGGGCCACACTTGAATCACAGATGAAGACGTGGAATCTGTCATTATTTACCACGGTGTCATTGGCATGCGCTGTCATAGATGTGAAGTTGCAGCCCTGGCAAGGTTAAGTTGGTTCTCTTTGATTACCTAGTCCAGCATCCGAGGCCAAAGTCGGGAGGGTGGAATGGGGGTGGGGGGAAGAAAATCAGTAAGAAACAAAAACTCACTTATGTGTCAACATTTAATTTTAAGCTGATCTCACCCCCGAGGCACTGACCACCCACCATGGCTGATTCCCACTGTGTGGGGCTGTGTGACGCAGTCCCAGAGGCTCCGGGCTACCACTCCGTGTCCACCAGATTCCAGAGATAGTCGCTGATGAACTTCTTAGAGAGCTGGGTGCTGTCCAGGTGGATGGGCTGGGCAACGCTGGGGCCGTGGTGGACTGAGAGCACGGATGTAAGCAAAGCCAGCATGCACTGCCCTCCCCTTCAACCCCATGACAAAAGGATACTGCCTTTCAGTTGTCATTATTAAGATACTTAGAGGGGCTTCCCTAACGGCTCAGTGGTAAAGAATCTGCCTGCCAATGCAGGAGGTACAGGTTTGATCCCTGGTCCGGGAAGATCCCACATGCTGCGCAACAACTAAGCCTGTTGAGTGGCATTCAGCATATTCACGCTGTTGTGCAACCATCATCATTCATCTCCAGAACTCTTCATCTTGTAAAATCGAAAAGTCAAAGTGAAAATCACTCAGTCGTGTCCAACTCTTTGCGACCCCATGGACTGTAGCCTGCCAGGCTCCTCTGTCCATGGAGTTCTCCAGGCCAGAATATTGGAGTAGGTAGTCATTCCCTCCTCCAGGGAATCTTCCCGACCCAGGAATTGAACCAGGGTCTCCTGCATTGCAGGTGGATTCTTTACCAGTTGAGCTACCAGGGAAGGGCCCTGTAAAACTGAAACTCTGCCTCCATTAAACAGACTCCCCCTACCCAACCCTGATAGTCCTCATCTTACTTTCCGTCCTCATGAAACTGACTCCTCTAGAGATCTCAGGTAGGTGGAACTATACAGAATTGACTTTTTGTGTCTGATTTATTTCACTCAGCATATTATATCCCAGGTTCATCCATGGTGTAAAATGTGTCAGGATGTCTTCCCTTTTTAAGGCTGAATGATATTTTACCGTGTAGATGGACCACATTTTGTTTATCTGGTCATCTGCTGATAGATGTTTGGGTTGCTTCCACCTTTGGGCTCTTGTGAACAGTGCTGCTGTGAATCCTGTTCAGGTCTCTGCTTTCATTCCTTTGTGGGTATACCCAAAGCGAAATTGGGTCATATCCCAATTCCCAGTAGTGGAACTGGGTCATGTGATCATGCTGTTCAATGTGTGGGACCTGTCATAGTGTCTGCACCATCTAATTCTCCCCAGCAGTGCCCAGGGTTTCACATTCCCCACAAAGGATACTGCCTTTGATCATCCCAGGCTCACACTCATAATCCCACTCGATTTTACTAATTCGGCGATAAAGTTGAGCCACATACCTGTGCGAGAAGACAAAAAAAAAAACAGAGAAAAGAAGTCATTCCAGTGTCAACTCTCGCAAAGATCCATGGGCTACAGACACACATACACACTCACAGGGATACACACTCACATCACATCTATGGACCTACACAGCTGAAGGGATGGTGACTGTCGTGTCCTCATCGACTTCCTTCTCTTGTCTTTCAAGATCCGCCTCAATCTCCTTGAGCTCCTCCAGTTCTCTTGTGAGCTGAGTAAAGCAGGTAGTTAAGGACCCCTGGTTTTGGAGGCAGGGCTGCCCACATGCTCACACCTCACACCAACCCTGTCAGCCCCGAGCCACTGGCTCTAGATGTGTTTTCTGGCTTGAACAGGTGCCTCCAGGCGGGGCTGGGGTCCAACAATTCTGCACACGCAGGAAAGGATATAGGAGGTTGGCCTTCAGACGGGCATCCTCCTCGCTGGCCCTCTGAAGCTCAGCTTCAAGCTGCCGCAGCTCGACACCACCCTGGTGTGCCTGCTCCTTCGCATCCAGGAGGCTCTGGGCCACCTCCTTCTCTGCAGTGAGGATCTCTGCAGGGTGGGGTGAAGTCTGGGCCCTCAACTCGAGCTCCCCAGGAAAGCCCCGGAGTAGAGGGCGGCCTCAATGCCCCCATCTACGCCCACTTCCATTTGTGGCTCCCAGACCCATCATCCTATTTGCAAATACCCACCAGAGTCCCACCTGGAATCTGACTCAATGTATCCATTTCACCGAGTCACACCTGAATCCATCAGGCGAAGAAACTTCAGTCCCTCCTTGTCTACCGAGTCTTAATGTATGACATCACTCTCCACCCCGTTGCCCAGACAGCAAGCCCAGGGCTCACTCTTTGGATGCAGCTGGCAATCCATCCTGGCAGGCCCCTCCTTCCTCGTGCGGGTCCTTCATCCCTCCAGGACCACCCTGTCAGCCCTCCTGCTTTGCTGTGCTTGCTCCTGTTGCCAGTCTGTACTGCTCTCTGCCTTCAGAGTGGCTGCGTCAGAGGCCGAATGCTAAGGCACTCCTCTGCTCAAAGACCTCCCAGGGCCCCCCCAGTGTCTCCAGGATAAGGTCCAGGGGCACCTACGCCCTCCTTGCCAACCTCCTTTCTCCTTGCTTTTCTCCCAATCACGTGTTTTCCTGGGCCCCCGCCTGCCTGTCTTCCAGGGATGCTCCCATCGGGCACACCCGTCCCCAGCCTGAGGACCTCGTGGATAATGCCCGACTCAGGAGGAATGGACATTGTCCTTTCCTTCCTGGGGCATGGCTGTGCTCCTAGGACAGCCCCATCACCCTGGCCTATTTATTTCTTCTCTCTCTTCTTCAAGGCACAAATTGTGTCTTACAGTCGCTAGATATCAGCCAACACCTACTCAGAATAAACATATTTGGAACGGAACATCTGAAAAGATCAAAAACACCCTAAGAAGGTTATTGTGTTCCTTCTCATTGAGTCAGAAAAACCGGCCAACCCAGAGAAGACACAGATGACAATGCTTCTCAGAGGGCCGGTGTTTGTTTACAAACTTAGATCAAGTTAATTTTTAATCAAAGTGCTACATGTCTATGGTTGTGAAAATTTAAACACACACTTGGGCGTGCGTGCACACACACACACACATACACACTCCTCTCTAAGCCTCTCCACCCTCTGAAGCAGCCACTTAAACTCCTCACTGTTTTCTCTGGCATCGGCCTTCATATTTCTAAATAATTTGCTTATGCTGCTATTTCTTGACCTGTGTTAGACGGTGCCTGCTGACTTCCTGTCGGAGAGCTGGGGGTCTGGCTCTCTTACACAGCCTTCCCGCCCCTTCTCCAGGCACCGTCCGAACCACAGCCAAGTCTCCTGGATGTTCAGTCTAAGCCGTCACTGCCTACATGTGTGCTGTGCCACGGGTAACCACGGAGCCCTAACTCACTATGTACTCTCATAACCCTCTGAGGGCGGCTTAGCCCTCCTTGCATTCGAGAGGCTATGAACAGAAGCTCAAAGTGACTTGTCCACAAACTTAGCTCCAAAGCCGGGATCTGAACTGGATCCTTTTTTCTGGCCATGCTGGGCAGCCTGCGGGATCTCAGTTCCCCGACCAGGAATTGAACCCGAGCCCCTGCAGGGGAAGCATGGGTCTTAACCACTTGACTGCCACCAAGGAAGTCCCTGAACTGGATTCTTTGATCAAACCCCAGCACCCTAGAATGCTGACTCTTCTCTCCTTGCCCCAAATCCATCCATTCTGCTGAAACCCAGGCAGGTTATCTTGATCTTCTCCCCAACCACCCGTGGAAGTAGAGTTAATGGAATGGGAGAGGAGAAAAGGAAGGAGGAGGAGGAGGAGGAAAGAGCAGAAGACCTGGCCCAGGACATCCATCATCTTAGTCGTTGTTGTTTTCATTGCTAAGTCATGTCTGACTCTTATACGACCCCATGGACTGTAGCCCACTAGACTCCTCTGTCCAAGGGATTTCCCAGGCAAGAATACTGGAGCGGGTTGCCATTTCCTTCTCCATGGGATCTTCTCGACCCAAGGATTGAACCCCAGTCTCCTGCATTGGAGGGCAGATTCCAACATGCTTAGAACCAACATCCAAACTCCTCCTGGGGGCTAGCAGGCTCTGGCTACTGCTGAGCTCATCCACAGGCTCATTCTCACCTCATGACCTTGTCCCTGAGAGTCCCCTCTGCCAGGATCACTCCTCCCCCCAGGCATCCTATGGTTAGCTCCCAGCTCATTCAAGTCTCAACCCAAACGGCACTCCCTCATAAAGTGTGATTGTCAAAAGGCATTACAAATCCCTGGCACTGAAAGCACAGTGGAAAACTAGATGGCATTTCCTCAAAAAAAGTTAAATATCAAATTATCATCTGACCCAGCATTTCCACTTTGGGGAAGATACAAAAACAGAACTGAAAGCAAGGACTCAGAGAGATTATTTTGTACCCTCCTGTTCATAGCAGCATTATTCACAATAGCCAAGAGGTGGGAGCAACCCAAGTGTCCAGTGATAAATGGATAAACAAAATATAGTGTATCCATACAATGGCATACTGGAGATGATGGTGGTGATGGTTACGCAGCAATGTGAAAGTGCTTATGCCGTTGAACCGGACACTTAAAAATAGTTAAAATGGTAAACCTTACATTACGTCAATTTTACCACAGTAAAAAAAAAGTTTGAAGCCTTTAAAAAACCAAAAAAACCCTGATGCTGAGAAAAGATGCAACATGGGCAGCCCCCACCTCCACCCCTTTCAAGGGTACAGTGCTATGCAAGCGTGATTTCTGTGATTTTCACTTTGAGTCATCAAAGAGGTACTTCAGCAGCCCCATTTCACAGATGAGGAAACTGAGGCTTGAAAGGGAAGCCACTGGACTGGGACCACAGGGCTCATGAGTTAAGGGCTGAAATCCTTAGCCCATCACCTCCTGACAAATCCATTTTTCTTGTTTATCCTCTCCTTCACCCTGCTAGAGTATCAGCAGCCCCCGCACCCCAGGGATTGTGTTTGCTCTATTCCCTGCTGTTACCCCAGGGCTGGCACTATGCCTGGGCACAGCTGGTGCTCAGTAAAACATCTGAACAAACTCAACAGGAAGATGTGGATTATTTATTGTTACAACCAATTTATAGGAAAAAGAGGCACTGCAAGGTTAAGTAAGTCACCTCAAATTTCACAGCTGGGAAGTGGGAATGCTGGGATTCAGACCCGGTGTTTTGACACTTGAGTTTCAATTCAAACCCTGAGTACCTCAACTCCTGCTCATAGAACGGCAGAGCCTGCAAACTCATATATTCACCACTAAACCCCTTGAGTGGCTCAGATGGTAAAGAATCCGCTTGCAATGCGAGGCCTGGGTTCGATCCCTGGATTGGAAAGAATCCCCTGGAGGAGGGTATGGCAACCCACTCCAGGATTCTTGCCTGGAGAATCCCCATGGACAGAGGAGCCTGGCGAGTTACAGTCCATGGGGGTCGCAAAGAGTCGGACACTACTGAGCGACTAACACACAACCCCCCGCTGCTATCCTGAAGCCCACTTCATGGGTGGGGAAACAGAGGCTCAGAGGGGACAAGGCTCACCTGCACGGGGAAATGGATTAGGGGAAGGAGCACCCAGAAGGGAGGCTCGTGACTGACTTGGCCACCGCTCCCATTACATCGGCCCCGTCTGCCCCTCGCCCCGCCGGCCCAGGTCCTCACCTCGCAGCCACTTCTCGGCGCCGTCTTGCGTCTCCAGCAGCCGCTCCACCATCTGCTCGTGGCGCCCCAGCAGCCGCCGTTGCTGCGCCTCCGCGCGATTGGCACCCAGCAGGCTCAGCAGCCCCTGGCTCACCTCCTCCATGTCGCGGAAGGCCGCCATGACTACTTTAGAACCGAGCCCGCGCAAATTTAACTGTCCCCTGAGCCCCGCCCCCCTCCAGGAGAGGCCCGTTTCCATTGGGTTGATCCCACGTCAGTCATCAGCGAATGAGGGCGGCTCTTTCGAGTCGGACCAGTGCGCCTGCGCCAGCTCGTCTGTCACTCATTGACGAAGGCCAGTCTGCGCAGGGAGGGCGTGCAGGCTGGAGAGCGGCAGCACGAGCTTCAAACTTGCCTTAGCAAATTCAGTGCCTGCTGCTTCCAGGTTGGGGTTCTAGGGACTAAGTTGATAACTGCATCACGTGGAACCGACGTTCTGCGGTGTGTGCATGGGATACTCACAATAAACGTAAGGAAAGTCTATAAGCGGCTGCAGAGCAAAATGGAGTGTGCAATCAGATTGATTGGGTTTCAACCCCAGATTTGCCACTTCCTGGCTGTTTTACTGGGCTTCCGTGGTGACTCAGTGGTAAAGAATCCGCCTGCTAAGGCAGGAGACCCGGGTACCACTTCCCTGGGTCGGGAAGATCCTGTGGAGGAGGAGATGGCAACCACTCCAGTATCCTTGCCTGGGAAATCCCATGGACAGAGGAGCCTGAGGGGACCACCGTCCAAAGAGTGGCAAAGAGTCGGACTTAGCCACTAAACAACAACAAGCTGTGTTACCCCAGGCAAATTGCTTCATCCCTCTGCTCTTCACGTTCCTCTTCAGCAAAATGAGGGTCATCACAGTGTCTACTTTAAGAGCTGGCTTGAGAGGAAATGATCCTATCTACAAAACAGAAATGGACTTGTGGTTGCCAAGGGAGAGGAGGAAGCCAAAGAGATGGACTGGAGTTTGGGGTTAGCAGGGCTGCCGCGATGGTTAAGCAGGTAAAGAATCCACCTGCAATATAGGAGACTCAGGAGATGTGGATTTGATTCTGGGCTGGGGAAGATCCCCTGGAGAAGGAAATAGCAACCCACTCCAGTATTCTTGCCTGGAAAATCCCATGGACAGAGGAGCCTCATGGCTACAGTCTAAAGGGTCGCAAAGAGTCGGACACGACAGAAAACTAAGCACTCACTGACTCAGATGCAAACTATTACATTTAGACTGGATAAACAACAAGGTCCTACTGTATAGCACAAAGAATTACATCCAATCTCATGGAATAAATCTTAATAGAAAAAAATATTTAAAAAGATATTATATATGTGTGTATGTAAAACTGTCACTTTGCTATATAGCAGAAATTAGCACAACATTGTAAATCAACTATACCTCAATAAATAAAAGGGTTGGCATGAGGGTTAAATAAGGTCAGTGCCTGGTATTCAGTAAGTGCTGTCCAGGTGTTATTGCTTCCTTGGGGGCTCAGTCGGTAAATAATTGTCTCCCTGCAATGCAGGAGACATGTGTTTGATCCCTGGCTTGGGAAGATTCGCTGAAGAAGAAATGGCAACCCACTCCAGTATTCTTGCCTGGAAACCCCATGGACAGAGGAGCCTGGTGGGCTACAGTCCATGGGGTCACACAGATTCGGACACGACTGAGCACACAGCATTTAAGGTCCCATATCAGTCGATTCTGAGTGAACTAAAAGGGACTACTATGTAGGTGCTAAGTGAAACAAATAGAAAGCTAGTGGGTGAGGTATCCAGCTCTTACTGAACACCGTGCTGGGCAGGGTTACAGTACAGGAAAGAAAAACTTCATTTTTGTGACGTGTCCCTCAGATGAGGTGAAGACATCAATTCAGCAGGTCATGACCAGCATTTTCTACAAAATACAATGGGGGGAAAAAAATCAGTGCATTGTGTACAGAAAGCTAGGTATTGTTTTGGGGAAACTCCAAACATTTGTCTACTGGGTGTGGCAGGTAGTATTTCCCAAAAAATAGCCACAGAAATAGTTCCAGCTTTGCCACTCCCTGTCAAGAGGCAGACTTCTATTCTTCTTTTGAACTTCAGCAGGATTTTGTGCAATTAACAGAATGTGGCAGAAGGGACGCTGTATGACTTGTAAGCCTCGGTCAGAAACTGAGATGCATCTTTTGCCTGGTGCTAGCTTGCTTTCTCCCTCTCTCTCAGTTCCAGGGTAGGCTCTCTGAGCTCATTTGCCATGTTGTGAGGAAGCCCAAGCCACGTGAACAGTCTCCCAGATAAGGGCCAGCCAAAACCAGCATCAACCACCAGACAAGTAAGGGAGTGGGCACTGAAATGATTCCAGCCCCCAACCTTTGAGCCTTCTCAGCTGACACCAAGAGGAGCACAGAGAGATGTTCCCAGCAAGCCCGCTCAAACCGCAGGTTTGTGAGCAAGATCCAGGTTGTTGTTTAAAGCCAGTAAATTTGGAGGTAATTTGTGATGTAGCTGTAACACCTGGATCCCTGGGTCACATGTGAAATTTGTGTCTTGCTGTGGGACATGTGAAAAATCATGAGGCTCTCCCTGGTGGTCCAGTGGTTAAGAATCTGCCTTACAGTGCTGGGGACACAGGTTCAATCCCTGGTCCAGGAAGATTCCATATGCTGCTGGGCAACTAAGCCCATGTGCCCCAGCTGCTGAGCCTACACTCTGCAACTAATGAAACCCGAACACCCTAGAGCCCATGCTTTGCAACAGAGAAGCTATTACAATGAGAAGCCCGTGTACAACAACTAGAGAGAAAGCTTGTCTACAGCGTTGAAGACCAAGCACAGCCAAAAGAGAATAAATAAAAAGATATAAATTATATTAAAAAATTTTTAAGGTAAGCAAACCACTGAATTAAAAATTTAAGGGAGTGCCAAAAATCTTTTTTAAAAAATCATTGAAAGGCACTGCTCTAGTGACAAGACCTCACAATAAGCAAAGAAATGAATGAGATCATTTCAGTCAGCCAGGAAGACTTGCCACAAGGGCAATAACACAGGGTCATAGGACAAAATCACTAGATTTGGAGCAGGGGAGGGAAATGGCTTTAGGTTAGGGGCTCAAGGATGGATTCCCTGAGAAGGGGACATATGAATAGGAACCTGAGTGATGAAAAGGAAACAAGGCACAAGGCAGAGGAAAGAACAAGTTCAAAGGCTCCTGAGGTGTGGGAGTTTAATTTCTTTCTTTCTTTCTTAATATTTATTTATTTGGCTGCACCAGGTCTTAGTTGCGGTACTTAGGATCTTTAGTTGAAGCATCCAAACTCTTAGATGTGGCATATGGGATCTAGTTCCCTGACCAGGGATGGGACCCAGGCCCCCTGCCTTGAAAGCTTGGAGTCTTAACCTCAGGACCACCAGGGAAGTCCCAGCAGTTTAATTTCTTTAAGGAGTGGTGAGGAGGTTGTCATGGCCAGAGAGGAGTGAGCAAGAGATTTCGCGAGTGTTTATTCTGATGTTGATGCACCAGGAAGCATTGGAAGGTGTTACATAGGGGAGAGCTAGGCAGGGGATTGGCTATAGATCTTCTGGAATTGAGAGGACTTGCCAGCAAGCCTGGATGTATGGAATGAAGAAAAGAAAGAAAGCTCCTGGGTGTTTGGCCCAAATACCTATTAGGTGGTGGTGGTACTTGTGACCAATATGGAGAGGAACAGACTTGGAGGTGAGGGAGTGCATGAAATGAAAAGTTTGGGGAAAGTCCCAAGGCCTGGAGGATGACTGTGTGGAGCTATCAAGAAAGCAGTTGCTTGGCTATATAAGTCTCCAAAGACATTTGAGCTGTGGATAGAAATTCAGGCTGTCAGGATGCAGCCAGTATCAGATGTCAGCTCTCCTGGGGGAAGAGTATGGAGAAGAGGAAGTTCAAGAACAAAAAGTTCTGGGATTTCCCTGGTGGTCCAATGGTTAAGACTCTGAGCTACCAATGCAGGGGGCCTGGGTTCAATCCCTGGTCAGGGAGCTGGATCCCACATGCTGGGACCCAGGACAGTCGAACTAATTTAAAAAAAAAAAAAAAGAAGTTCCCCATCCTTTGACTCATAAAGTGGCTTGCAGATATAGAAGTGATGTCACCTTAGTAGTTTCCTGCAGAAATGTCGGTTTCCGGGCGTGGAGCTGGGACCCCAGAGTCAATGCTTATGGCATTGCTCACCCTCCTGATGGTGGAGCATTTGATGAGTTTGCTTTGTTACCATCAGCTCTGTGACCTTTGGTGTGAGGGGCTGACCTTCTCTGCGCTGAAAGGCAGGCACAATGCTGAGTGGAATAAAAAGGTGATAAGATCATGGATTCAGTTTCTGGCTCTGCAGATCACCTGTGACCTTGGCAAGTTCTTAACCTTTCTAAGCTGTGAGCTAATGATAGCTCTCTTATCAGCTGGGAAAGGCTGTTCAAGAGATAAGTCATTCCACGTTGCACCAGCAGAGCCTGAAAGATATAAATGCTTCTGTCGGAAAGGCCACTCACTTCACTGCCAAAAAATAAAGCAAGAACTACTCACAGCCATTATGATGGCTCCTATTAAAAATAAATCATAAAGCAGAAGCTAAAGCTTTACAGCACTGTAAAGCAATTATTATATGTGCGTGCATGCTCAGTCAGTAAGTTGTGTCTGACTCTTTGCGACCTCATGGGCTGTAGCCCGCCAGACTCCTCTGCATGGAATTTTCCAGGCAAGAATACTGGAGTGGCTTGCCATTTCCTTCTCCAGGGGTTCTTCCCAACCCAGGGATCAAACCTGCATCTCCTGCATTAGCAGGCGGATTCTTTACCGCCACCTGGAAGCAACTATACTTCAATAAAAATTAATTAAAACAAAACAATTTTAAAAATCAGAAAATAACAATTGGTGGTGAAGAAATGGAGGAGCTGGTTGGTGGGAATGTAAACTGGGCCAACCGCTCTGGAATAAATTATAGCTATTCCTCAAAATACTAAAAATAGAACTACCACATGACCTAGCAATTGTACTTTTAGGTATATACCCCCCCATGTTGAAAGCTGGGACTTTGTATACCCAGCACGATTTACAATAGCTAAAATGTGAAAGCAACCAAGTGTCCCTCAATGGATAAATGGATAAATAAAATGTGGTGTATGCAAACAATGGAATTTTACTCAGTCTTTAAGTACGAAAATTCTGCCACATGCTACAGCATGGATGAATGTTGAGTACATTATGCTAGGTGGGATAAACCAGTCATAAAAAGACAAAAACTCCCCACTTCCACTTATACGTGGTCCTTAGAGTACTTGAATTCATGGAGACAAGAGAATGGGAGTTGCCAGTGCCTGGGGGTGGGTGTGATGAAGTTAATGTTTAAAGGGGACAGAGTTTCACTTTGGGAAGATGAAAAGAGTTCTGGAGATGGATGGTGGGGAGGGTTGCACAACAAAGTGAATATACTTAATGACATTGAACTTCACAGTTAGAAACAGTTTAGATGGTGGATGTTTGTTATGTATATCCTGCCACAAAAATAAACAGACTTGTATTTTTTAAAAAGCCAAACAAGACACTGGGTTTGGGGAGTGGGGAATGAGGTCTTCAGCATGAGCTGAACAAGGTAGCGAAGATGGTGAAATGATCCTGGGTGACTGTTTATGAGAAACAATTTTTATTTTTTATTTTTTGGCCATGTCATGCAGCTTGTGAGGTCTTAGTTCGCCAAGCAGGGATTGAACCTGAACCACAGTAGTGAAAGCACCAAATCCTAACCTCTGGATTGCCAGGGAGTTTCTGAACAATATTTCTTTTCTTTGCAATTATCTTTTTTTTAATTGGAGTATAATCATTTTCCAATGTTGTGTTGGTTTCTGCTCTACAACAAAGTGAATCAGCTATGTGTATACACACATCCCCTCCCGCATCCCCACCCTTGGGGTCATCACACTGAACTGAGCTCTCTGTGCTTTACAGCAGCTTCCCACTATCTTTTTCTTTTTTTTTTTTTAATATCCAAAAGGTCTCTTCTTGGCTCATGAACCACAGACTCTTCCGAAAACTGACAAGATCAGTGAACCTTCCACTCATAAATATACAACATTGCATAAAATTTCTAGGACTTCCTATAACCTCTGAAAACCACCCATTATCTCCTGGTCCAGAGGGAAAACAGAGGAAGTGAGAATCAGGAGACCAATCATCCATTATCAGTTATCCTCAGGGAAGAGAGGGAGAGAGTTCCCAGGACTGGAGAGGGGAGGGGCTGAGGATACTCCCCTTCCTGTCCTTATGCTGGTAACACCAGGATGTTCACTTTTCAAATTGCCATGGAGCTGAACACTTTTTTTTTTTTTTGGCTGCACTGTGCAACATGGAGGGTCTTAGTTCCCTAACCATGATCAAACCCATGTCCCCTGCATTGGGAGCATGAAGTCTTAACCACTGGACTGCCAGGGAAGCCCCCAGCTTTTATACATGACTCACTCATACACGAAAATAGCAACCCACTCCAGTACTCTTGCCTGGAAAATCCTATGGACGGAGGAGCCTGGTAGGCTACAGTCCATGGGGTCTCAAAGAGTCAGACACGACTGAGCGACTTCACATACACGAAAGGTATATGCTGCCTCAATAAAAAAATAAAGCAGGAAAACAAAGTCTTTTAATACTCAGCCTGTTAGGAAAATGTTTGGCGGGAGATGCTCCAAGTGTTGACAATGGTGCACATTTCTACCAAATGGGACCATGGCACCCTCCCATGTGCCAGATGTTTTCATTACTGTTTAAATTTTGCCTTTTACAATCACTGTAAATTATTTTGTCATGAAGAAAAAAAATCAGGAAACTTTTTTTTCTGAGGTGTCCACAGTTGGTTTGTTTAGAACTTTCTGCCACAGTGACTGTGTTCTGTATCTCTGCGGCCCAGTCTGGTAGCCACCAGCTATGAGCAGCTACTGAGTATGAATTCATTACAACTGATTTGCATTTAAATGGAAATTGCCACAGCTGGGTAGTGACTGCAGTATTGGATAGTGTCAGTGTAGGGCGGAGCATAAGGGCGTTTATTTTAATAGTCTTGCCACTTTTCTGCAGTGTTGAACATTTTTCAAATAAGTCCATTTTTTAAAAGAAATCTATTTTAAACCTTCACAAGAAATACAAGGACTTCCCTGGTGGTCCAGTAGTTAAGAATCCCCCTTCCAATGCAAGGGATGTGGGTTTGATCCTTGGTTGGGGAACTAAGATCCCACATGCTAAGATCACACAGGCAACTAAGCCTGTGTGCCTCACCAAAGACCTAGCTCAGCCAAACTTTTAAAAATTAATTGATTAAAAAATAAAAAGATAATAAGATAAACATCAGACACAGACACTTTGGCCTTCTCATAAGGTAGCTTTATTAAATTCCTTTACCTTCTAAAAAATGATTACAAAAAGGAATACTTCATTTAAGTGTAATACTGTCTTTATGGACGTACCATGGTCGGAAAGTGAAGTAAAAGGTCTTGAATACATGCGAGAAGAGGGTGGAGTCAGGCACAGAACCCCTTGTAACCTACCACGCCAAGCCCAAGGGGTAAGGGCAGGGAGAAGGGAACACACAGGGGTAAATATGGACTCACGGTGGGGGTGGGGGGTGGGGGCGCGGTGGTCAATGAGCTGCTTCTAGAAGCTTAAAATAAACGCACCCATGGCTCCAGGGCCGGACACACAGACACACAACTCTCGTACCGCTTCTCAAAGCTGCCCAAAGCTGTGGCCGCCTGTCAGTGGTCACCCCCCAGTCAGCTTGGGTCTCCCTTCCTTTTCATTTACACTCACACGTACACACACACGGGGCTGTCTCTCTTCTTTGACTGTCCAAGCTCTCTTTCTTAGGTGCTGTCCCTTCCATCATCATCAAAGTGAGCAGACTCCATCAGGCCAGGAAACCTACTTTTCTAGGAGAGAAGCCAGCACTTGGCTTTGTTGAATGAACGCGTGTAGTGCCGAGGGCTTGACCCGTCTTGCTGGGGTTTTAGCGCCCACCCTGGTGGCTATGCTGAGAGCTGGACAAGAGAGGACAGGACGTCTGAAGGCTAAAGGATCTCACTCCCCGGTCACAAGGCACTTTTTGAGGCTTAGAACCTATCCCCCTCCTCCCCTCCCTGTTTCCTTTTCTCTTTCTTTTTTGGTCACAAAAGGAAGGAACGGGAAAGAAAACTATGTTGCGATTCTGAGACAAAATAGGCCATGCAGGAAACTGTGTTTTGGGAGAGCCCCGTTTCCAGCAGGCTGTGTTCCAGGCGGCTCCGGAAAGCCTGTAGGTTGTTTAAAAAAAAAAAAACAACCACCAGCTGGCCCTTGTTTGGTTTTCGGCAAAGCTCTGTCTCTTTAAGTTTGCACTGGGAGCCCTCGGGGGCAGCCAACTTTTAATCGAGCACACATGGGATTTTTGGAACTGGGCCTATGCTTGCCAACAATCTCATGCCCTGTTTTCTTTCCTTAGAGGAGAGACATTCTGGAGTCTGGGGAGAAGAATGGCCTCGTCACTGGGGTTCTAAGCCTAGGGATGTAGGCACCCCTCTGGGGACTGGATTCATTTCCTACATGTCCAGGTCTAAAGGATTTTCTAGGAAGATGAATATTTGCCAGGGCCCCCCTGCATGGAGGAGATTCTGGGGAATCTCAAGAAAGGCACACCTTGCACACCTCGGCGGCTGGCTCCTGAACCCCACACCTTAGTGGGGGCGGGGGTGGGTGGGGGGTTGCTCGCAGTGGGAAGAACAGAAGGCAGAAGAAAGGACTAAACTTCCCGCCCTGGGTGACAGAGACAGAACCTGCTTTGTGAAGAGGCCACAAGAGAATGCCACCAAGAAAATCGCCTGAGCAGGGGGCAGCGGACAGAACTCAATTGTATACCAGACAGTTAAGTGGAGGGGGACTGGGTGTCAGGCCACTCTTGATGCGATCCGTGCGTAACAACATTTAGGCTTAAAGTGAAAATACACGATTCCAGTGACTTTCAAATTTGGCAACAAGTAAGTCATTTTCCCCCCCTTTCCCCCTCCAACTGTGTGATTCAGAAATACAATATTTTTCCCTCTTACCCTCCTCCATCTGTAATTGCCAGTTGATTGTTCTCAGCGTTCCTCACAAACCCACGCCTCAGAGCCAGCCACTGGCGCTGATTTACATACGAGTTTACCTCCAGTCTGTGCTTCGGCTGCTTTGGACCAGGGTACTGGGAAAAAACCCACTTTCATCTGAAGTCTCCACGCTGTTGGGGTCTCCCCCTGGGAAGCAGAGGAAAACCCCGATTGCCTTTGATCCCGAGACCTTGGTGGATCGAGTGGGGGCTGGGCAGGGAGGAGACGAGGGACAGTTCTTTCCGGGGCTGCCTGGTCCCCAGGAGTGGCACCTGGGGCTCTTCTCACGGCTACTCCTCTGCAGAGGATGATGCAGGACTCTCATCATCTGACATCGGGGCAAACTGAAATGAGAGGCAGAATTCCTTTAGTTTGGCCTCCCCTTGGGGGTCTGAGGTGGCGACTTTGCTGGCTGGCCCTGTGCTTGTGGTGAGTGAGCAAGAGGCCATGGTCCCTTGGCCTCAAGGAGGTGACACTGCTGGGGAGATAGCTTCACAGATGAATGCAGTGGAGGGTTCTTCCTGAGTGATAAGGTGGCAGTGACAGGGGAGAGCAGGTGGTCTGGCAGGGTGACGTCTGAAGGATGTTGGGGGGCACCCAAGGGGCAGGGTGTTCCGGGCAGGGGAAAGAGCAAGTGCAAAGGCCCTGAGGCAGGAGCGGCAATCAGGCCAGTGTGGCTGGAACAGAGTGAGCAAGGTAGAGGGAGGTAAGAGTGCAGGGAGGTGGGCTTTGAGGATGACCCCACTCCAAGCGGGGTGGGAGTCACAGAGGGCTGTAAGCAGAAGGGCTGTACCCCGACTCAGGTGCTCACAGTGACCTCTGGCCACTTTGAGGAGGACAGTGGAGGGGGCACTGAGGATGCAAGCCAGAGAAGCAGTGCGGAGGCAACGGCAGTGGTCCCAGAGGACAATGATGGAGGATTGTGATCCATACCTGTGGAGCCCTTGGGAGCAGGACAACATGTCAGACAGCAGGACACCACCCAGCCCCATCGCCCCCATCTCCCAGTGTGGACATGGAGGCCCAGAGCTGATCCCAAGGGGATCCCCTGAGCACCTAAGACCCTAAGCAGTGATGCTGAGAAGACTCAGAGTCTCAGAACCTGCAAGCTGAGCAGGAGCCAGATGGTTTATGTCTCAGCAACCTTCTCTCTCCTGGAATATTTGAGGAAACTGCTGTGGTAAACACCTACCTCGCCACCCTCAAACCTGGCCCCAGACATGCCTCAGGGAGGCCAGGGCAAGTGTGAGGTGGGGGTGAGGAGGAGCAGGCAGAGAGGTTCCAGTCTGAAGTCTAGATTCACACCCTAAGGTCTCTGCCCCTTCCTGTCTGTGAGGCTTTGCACCAAGAATGGAACCTTCTAAGTCTCAGCTTCCCCACCTGAAAAATGGTCACAGTAAAAGTACATTATGCAACTGAATAGGGTTCTTGTGGAAGGTTCTGGAAATCCTGCTCGGGAGGCATTTTTGGTATACAGTCCATTAGACTAGCAGGCACTTCTCAGGTGGCTCAGTGGTAAAGAATCCGCCTGCCAATGAAGGAGACGTGGGTTTGATCCCTGGGTTGGGAAAATCCCCTGGAGGAGGAAATGGTAACCTGCTCTGGTATTCTCGCCTGGGAAATCCTATGGACAGAGGAGCCTGGTGGGCTACAGTCCATGGGGTTGCAAAGAGTCAGACACGACTGAGCACACACACATGCCATCAGACTAGAAGGGCTCTTCTCTTTCATCAGACAAAGGCATGCTTTGCAGACCTATGAGGACTGCCCCTGCCTCCCCCATCAGACTGGAAGGGCTTTCTCCTCCATCAAGCACTCAGGACACAACGAACATCAATTTTATCCTCCTGTTAGGCTTCCAGAAGAGCATTTTGTTAATGGGCATTTTTTTTTTTAAACCCAGATTTCTAGGGTCAAATCTGAGAAATTCCCCATTAAGACACAGTTAGGCTTCTTTACAGTGAAACTTCTCAAGGCCTTGAATACAATGACACACCTCGAGTAAATGCCAAAGTCCTCCGCATAGTGATGAAGAACATGATTTGGAACCAGACAGATCTGGTTTGAATCCTGTGATAACCAGGATAGCTGCACAGTCTTAGCTCTTGTGTCTTGTCTCCTCATGGGGGCACCATGAAGGTTCAACAAACAGCTGACTCTGCAGCCCTTGGCGTGGTCCCTGTATGCCATCCCCCGTCCGAGCCCCCACCCCCTTCCCAGCTAGGGCTGAGACTCACCGAGCACTTGATGTTCATGTGGGAATACAGCATGGACGCAATTTCACTGTGTCCTGCGTCCAAGGCCACCATCAGAGCCGTGCTCCCATCCTGCAAAGCATCGGTTGCTATGCTGATGCCCCGCGCTGTGCTCCCACCCACCTACCCCCCTGGGCGCGCCAGGGCGGGGACTCACACGGTCGGTGATGGAAATGTCACAGCTGGGCACGGCCAGCAGCAGCGCCGTGATCTCCTTGTGGCCATGCTCGCAGGCACACATGAGGGCCGTGGAGCCGTCGTCATCTTGGACGTTGACGTCCGCCTCGCAGGCGAGCAGGGCTTTGACCACGTCCACCCGTCCGTGGCTGACCGCCAGCATCAGGGCTGTCTGCCCCGCCTGGATAGGGCAAAGGAATAGGCTTATGGATCATGCAGGCCCCGGAGGGTGACACCCCTGCTCCAGAACCTTCCATGGTTCCTGAGTACTCTGATGCTAACTGCACCTCCACTCATGGGCCTCCTTCTACATTTCGAACAATCCTACCTACCACTGGGCCTTTGTACTTGCTGATCCCTTTTTTTTCCTGCCGGTTCCTTCTCATCCCTCAGGTCTCAGCTTAAATGTCTCCTCCTTGGGCACATGCTGTGTCTCCCCATCCCTTGCTGTTGTTGGTGTTTAGCTGCTAAGTCATATCAGACTCTTTGCAACTCCGTGGACTGCAGCACACCAGGCCTCCCTGTCCCTTACTATCTCCCAGAGTTTGCCCAGGTTCATGTCCATTGAGTCAGGGATGCTATCCATCCATATATCCACTTAAATCAGATTCCTAAGTCACAGGTACAAACATAAGTAAAATACGTTGAGCTAAGAATTGTACACTTTCTGTTTACAAGTTGGTGGTAGTTTAGTGGCTAAGTTGTGTCTGACTCTTGCAACCCCATGGACTGTAGCCTGTCAGGCTTCTCTGTCCATGGGATTCTCCAGGCAAGAATACTGGAGTGGGTTGCCATTTCCTTCTCCAGGAGATCTTCTCGACCCAGGGATTGAACCCAGGTCTCCTGCATTGCAGGCAGATTCTTTACTGACTGAGGTATGAGGTTAAATCTCAGCAAAAACCAACGTCCAGGGACCTCCTCGGTGGTCTGGTGCCTAAGCCTCCCAGCTCCCAATGCAGGGGGCCTGGGTTCCATCCAGGTCAGGGAACTGGATCCCACATGCCACAACTAAGACCAGGCAAAGCCAAATAAAGAAATTATGCTCTGTGACAAGAGCTAAGACACGAAAGGACACAATACTACATGACTCCGTTTATATAATATATCCCTAACAGGCAAATCCGCAGAGACAGAAAGCAGGCCGAGGGGGCTGGGGCTGGGGGAGGGAAGGGAGTGAAGTGACAGCTGCGGGTGCCAAGTCTCCTGTTGGTGTAAAGGTGTTCTGGAGGCAGACAGAGGTAGAGGTTGCACAGTACTGCAGCTATGCTAAATGCTACCAGCTTGGTCATCTTAAAAGGGTTCATCGTATGTGCAATTCACCTCCATTTTTAAAAAAGTAGACCACCTGGACATATACCCAGAAAAGATGAAAACTCTTAATTCAGAAAGATACTTGCACCCCAGTGCTCATTGCAGCACTTTTACAATAGGCAAGACATGAAAGCATTGATGGATGAAGAGACGAAGAAGATGTCGTACAATGGAATACTACTCAGCCATAAAAAATAATGAAATAATGCCATTTGCAGCAACATGGATAGACCTAGCGATGATCACACGAAGCAAAGTAAATCAGACAAAGCCAGATATCATATGATATCACATATATGTGGAATCTAAAAAAATGATACAAATAAACTTATTTATAAAACAGAAACAGACTCACAGACATAGCAAAAAAAAAACAACTTATGGCTACCAAAGGGGAAAAGGTGGGGAAGGAGAGATAAATTAGAGGCTTGAGATTAACATATACACACTACTGTATATAAAATAAACAACATGGTCCTACTGTATAGCACAGGGAACCTTATTCAACACCTTGTAATAACCTATAATGAAAAATCATATATATATGTATATATACAACTGAATCACTTTTCTGTACACCAGAAATAACACAACATTATAAATCAATTATACTCCATTAAAAAAAACACACCTAAACCATTAATACAATTCTTTTAATTAAAAATAAATCCGTAAAAAAGCAAGCAGGGTCTGGGACTTCCTGGTCATCCAGTAGTTAAGACTCCAAGCTTCCAAAGTAGGGCGGCCCAGGTTTGATTCCTGGTCAGGGAACTAGAGCCCGTATGTGGCAACTAAGATCTGGCACAGCCAAAGAAATAATTTTTTTTTTTTTTAAAGAATGGGGCTCTGGAGCTAGACCCCCAGGTTCAAGTCCCCCTCCTCTAGTTGAAGCCCGAGGAAATGAACACTTCTCTGCGCTTCAGTTTTCTCCGCCTGTGGAGTGCGGGTCCCTGCCCGGGCTCTGGGCAGGGCTGGGACATCGTGAGTGGGAAGGGCCGTGCCGGCACCAAGGGCCTATACCTGGCTGGCTGTGGCATTCACGTCTCCAAGCCGGAAGAGCTGCAGGATGGTCTGGATGTCATCCTGGGTCTTCAGGGTGGCCAGGGCGGTGAGCATGATGGGGCTGTAGCCAGCGCGGTTCTGCTTGTCCACCTGGCAGACACCTGCCGGGGGTGGACCAGGAAGACATCGGGTCTCAGACCCCTCAGTGATGCTGGCTGGGGGAGGGGCCCTGAGGACCAGGCCACGTCTCTGCCATCAGACTAGAAGCCTTGTTCACTACCGTAATGAGCGCTGGGGATCATGTCTCCTCCATGAGTCTAGGTGTGGACTCACTCCTTCTTTTTCTTAGACTGACAACCCTATTCTGCCCCTGGGTCCCCATCTCTCTTATGGGAGCAGCTCCTAACAGTGAAGTCTGTGACTCCTCCATCAGACTGGGCTCCCAAATTTAGGGCTGAAAGTAGGATTTGTGTCTCCCTCATTAATCTGAAAGGCCCCCTAGTCATCTTTCAGTCTGGCCTATGTCTCCTCCATTAGACTGTGGGCTCTGCCTCCTTCATCAGATTGACTAGCGGAGAGTCACGTCTAATTGCGGACCACGACTTGTCTCTGAGCCCCAGATGGGAAGCCACATCCTTCCTCAGATTAGGGTTCCAGGGGTGTCACCTTTGTTATACAGGGGTCACTGGGGTGGTAGAAGGGCCACGTGTTTTCCATAAGGCCATGGCTGCCTTTTCCAGGACACTGGGGCCACAGGTAGGGCCTCTATCCCTTCACCAGCGTGGGAGGGCGGCGTCTCCCCCATCAGACTGGGAGGGCGGGGGAGCGTCTCCCCCATCAGACTGGGAGGGCGGCGTCTCCCCCATCAGACTGGGAGGGCGGCGTCTCCCTGATCAGACGGGAAGGGCAGTATCTCCCTCACCAGACTGGGAGGGTGAGATCTCCCCCATCAGACTGGGAGGGCGGTGTCTCTTCCACTAGACAATGAGGGTGGCATCTCCTCCACCAGACTGGGGAGCAATGTCTCCTCCATCAGACTGGGAGGGCGGCGTCTCCCTGATCAGACGGGAAGGGCAGTATCTCCCTCACCAGACTGGGAGGGTGAGGTCTCCCCCATCAGACTGGGAGGGCGGTGTCTCTTCCACTAGACAATGAGGGTGGCATCTCCTCCACCAGACTGGGGAGCAATGTCTCCCCCATCAGACTGGGAGGGCGGGGGAGCGTCTCCCCCATCAGACTGGGAGGGCGGCGTCTCCCTGATCAGACGGGAAGGGCAGTATCTCCCTCACCAGACTGGGAGGGTGAGGTCTCCCCCATCAGACTGGGAGGGCGGTGTCTCCTCCACTAGACAATGAGGGTGGCATCTCCTCCACCAGACTGGGGAGCAATGTCTCCCCCATCAGACTGGGAGGGCGGGGGAGCGTCTCCCCCATCAGACTGGGAGGGCGGCGTCTCCCTGATCAGACGGGAAGGGCAGTATCTCCCCCATCAGACTGGGAGGGCGGGGGAGCGTCTCCCCCATCAGACTGGGAGGGCGGCGTCTCCCTGATCAGACGGGAAGGGCAGTATCTCTCCCATCAGACTGGGAGGGCGGGGGAGCGTCTCCCCCATCAGACTGGGAGGGCGGTGTCTCTTCCACTAGACAATGAGGGTGGCATCTCCGCCCCCAGACTGGGGAGCAATGTCTCCCCCATCAGACTGGGAGGGTGACAGCTCTCCCATCACTGGGCCCCCGGCCCCGACCCCCAGGGCTCACCGCTGTCTAGCAGCTGCCGCACCACGGGGAAGTTGGCGTGGGACACGGAGTAGTGCAGCGCTGTGTTGCCGTTGCTGTCGGCGATGTTGACCACATAGTCCAGCAGGCGCGCCGACATGGCCCGGAAGGTGACCAGGTGGCGCCGCACGAGCTCCGGGTGGGCGTCGCTGCGGCAGGCCAGGCGCAGCCACTCCTGCAGCACCGTGGTGTAGGCCACCTTCTGGATGCGGGCCGGGGGGAAGAGGGGCGTGAGGGCCACGGCAGCCCACCCCGGCCCAGAGGAAGCCCACCCTGAACCAGAGGGAACGTGTGGGTGCCCCACCCTAGGTGAGCCCCCCTGGAGGAAAGCGTAGTGTCCCCTGCCCTAAAGGGAAGTGTAGACCCCGTGGTCCTAGGTATGTCCCCAGAGGAAGGTGTGAGCATCTCCACCCTGGATGGGATCTTCAAGGTCAAGTGTACACCCCCATCAGAGGAATTACAGCAGCCCCTTCCTCAAGCCCCAGAAGGAACAGGAACCGAGGCTCGCTTTGCTGGCAGGTGACCGTCTGTGGTCCTCCCTCCTCCCTGGCACCTCTCCAAAGACCACGACTCAAGTCTCGGAGCCCCTCGCCCACCAGCTCCCAGCTAGGATCCTGGGGTACCCATGATCCAAAGCATAGAGACACTGTGGATGAGGAGAAGCCGGGGGGGGGGCGGTGGAGGAGAAGGAGCCCCCCCACTTCAGGCCCAGGACCCCTCCGTACCAGCTCCCGCTCGGTGAGGGCTTTGGGGTTCTCCAGGTACTTCTCCAGGGCCAGGCAGGCTGAGATGAGGTCAGGACTCAGCTCCATCCTGCCAGGGGCAGACGAAGGGGAGTTTATCTCAGGAGCACTCGCCTCAGCCTCCTGGGTGTCCTCCACCCACCCAACTGGGGTGTTCAGAGAGGGTCTCAACATTGTGCCCCGTGGCCCTCACCCAGTCCTGCCAGGGCTCCCGAGTGGTGGAATCTCAGACCCCCCTCCTTCTCAGACACTTTTACACAGCACCCCCAAGGGGCAGACACGGGAGACACACAGACCCCAAGAGAAAACGGACACATGGGTCAAACTTTATTCCAAATGGCCAGCAGCAGATGGAAATCTTTTTCTGAGGATGGATTTTTCATCAGGGGGAGAAATAGGAGACATATACAGGATGGACAGGTGGGGCAAAATGGCCCAAAGAAGGTGGGTGACTTAAGAACAGACTTGGCCTGCCCCTTAAACCCGAACCCCAACAGCCAAAATTGCCCCCCTCAGGCCCTTTATCAAAGCCATCAGACTTTCAGATGCCCAAAATGAGAAAGCATGGGTTCACTAATTTAGACTACGGTGTACATGACTGATGGGAGTTTCCCCTCAGAGGGCGTGAATGGTGGGATCTGAGGCAGAGGTCACCCTCTCTGCCCCAGACCCTGCCTGAAGCCCTCCCACCCAGAAAACTGACCGGATCTCTTCTTTTGCACTTGATCCTGATGCCCCCTCAGCTGTGGGCGTGTGCAGAGACTCCTGGTTCAGTGGAGACTCCTCCCGGCTCGTCTTGGCCTTCACCGTCTCCTTGGGCCTGAGCTGGGGGGCTTCAGCCACACGCGGAACCCTCTCCTCTGGCTCTGGGGCCTCGTTCTCTGTGCTCTCATTGTCCGAGAAGTTCTCTGCGGTACTGGAGTCCTCGGAGGAGGACTCATACCTGGGGGAGACGCTGTAGGTGGTAGGGGAGGGGCACTTGACCTCTCTGGGCCTCAGTTTCCCCATCTGTTAAATGGGGATGGTGGCACTATGAAGTTGAGAGGGCTCCAGGGATGCAATAAGTGCTCAATAAACACTGCCTGTGATGGTGATCATGTTTGGGGGGTCAGGGAGGGGCACTGCTTTTCCCTTCTACCCTTTGGTACCTGTTACACTTTGCTGCTTATGCTAGAAAGTGTGTTAGTCACTCAGTTGTGTCTGACTCTTGCGACCCCATGGGCCGTAGCCCACCAGGCTCTTTTGTCCATGGAATTCTCCAGGCAAGAATCCTTAAGTGGGTTGCCATTCCCTTCTCCAGCAGATCCTCCTGACCCACTGATCGAACCCAGGTCTCTCACATTGCAGGCAGATTCTTAACCATCTGAGCCACCAGGGAAACCCACTTTGCTCCTTACACAGGTGTTGTACTGATTTAGACCCTCGTCCTACTGCAAATAGGACCCTTGTGCCTTTTGCTATCTCGTGACAGAGTCTAAGCTTCTGTACCTGGCGTTCAAGGCCCCCAACTCTTTCTGTTCCCCAGGCCTCCCATTTTTTTTTTTCTTCTTTTTTAAGATTTTTTTTTTTTTGGATGCAGACCATTTTTAAAGTCTTTATTGAATTTGTTACAATATTGTTTGTTTTATGTTTTGGTTTTTTGGCTGTGAGGCAAGAGGGATCTTAGATCCCCAACTGAGGTTCGAACCTGCATCCCCTGCACAGGAAGGTGAAGTCTTAACCACTGGACTGCCCAGGAAGTCCTCTCCCACTTTTCATGTCATGGCTTCCTCTTGCCTCGGAGCATTTATCCAGGATGTGTCCTCCACCAGGAGACCCCACCCCCCACTCCACGCCTTCAAGGGTCTGCTTGTCCTGCAGCACACGTGTTCCCCTCTGTCGGTGACTCTCCTCAGGGCCATCTCTGCCTCCTTCAGGCCCTCCCCCCCACTGCTGGAGCATCCCCACCATTGCTCCAACCATGCTGGGCTGGGACCGCCCATCAGTGCCCCAGGTCACAGTGGACCAGGAGCTCCATGGGGGCACACAGCACCTCCCATGGGGCAGTGTGATGCAGTGGTTACAGCACCAGCTCAGCACTGGACTGACGAGTCAGTCCACCAGGCCTTCCTGTGCCTCAGTTTCCTCATCTGTCTCCTGTGCTGTGGTTGAATGAATGAATCAAAGTGAGGGGCTCAGCCCAGGATCTCTCACCTGCCGTTGACTCCCACGAACTGGAGGCTCCTCCGGTGGGCCTCTGGGTCTGTGGGCTCCTCTTTCTGCTTCATGATGGACCGCACGCCTGCCTGGGCCCCTCCTGGAGGGGGAGGGGTGGTGTCATGAGAGTCTCCCAAAGCCAGACCCCATGCCTGGGCTCCAGGCGCCCGGTCCTCCATGCAGCCACACCCGCTTACCTGCACCCCCAGCCTCCTCAAACTCTGATTCCTGACAGGCTGCTGGCCTCATGGGCTCCTTGATGGTGGTGTCGTCGTGGGCAGGCACCTGGCCTGTGTTCTTCTCTGACTGCGCCTGGGTGGCCCCCTCAGACTCCGGGGGTGATAAGGACGATTCTGCAGGAGCCTGTGGGTGACCTGAAGAGACAGGAGAAGAGGCGTTTACTGCAGGTAACAACAGCAAAACAAGAACAGTAATAATAGCCGCCTCTTGTCACCTACGCTGGGCCAGGTGCTCCAAGGGCTAATTTTTGCATTACTCCATCAAAACTTCCCACGTGGAAGCTGGATGGTTACAGATGAGGAAACTGAGACCCTGAGGGTGGCCTAAGGTCACCCTGCAAAGAAGTGGCAGGATCCATTCCAGTTCTGGTTTGTCGCCTGCCTCACAGCTGGTCAGGGTCAGGGAATATCACATGACCCCTATAATCCTGGCTTGTGACCTCCCTTCTGACATCATACTGAGTGTTGTCTGGAAACTACAGCTGAAAATAGTGGTCATGGTCAGGACCCAAATCTCCCGCAAAAGAGCTGTGTGACCTCAGGCAGGTCACTTAACCTCTCTGTGTCTCAGACATGACATTTCCTACATCATGACGCCATACACACTAAAGACAGTAACGTGAGAGAGATGGCTTAAAACACCACCTGCACAACAAGATTATGACGAACATCTGTTAAGTCAAGAGAACTGTCAGCTACATTTTGATAAGACTTACTAAAAAAAAAAGAAAAAAAGACTTAATATTATCACTTTATAATATTTCAATATTATAAAGTATTTTATAATATATATTATTTTATAATATAATATTTTATATTTATATTATGTGTATTTATATTATAATAATATACAATATTATTTTAATATAATTTATAATATGATATTATTTCAATATTATAAATATCTATAGCGTTGTGCTGTAGATAACATTTTGTACCTGGTTTCCTGCTTCTTTATTTTCAACATTAAGCAGGTGCTCCTTTTAATAATCAGGACAAAGAAGAAATAAGGGTAGCCACAGGGAGTGGACAGAAAAAGAAAAAGAAAAAAACAATAAGGGCTATTAGAAAATTAAAGTTAAAACCCCACCCAGGCAGGTTTCACTCTGGGTCAATGAAAATGTTCTCAGGGTGGATGGTGGGGACAGTTGCATAACAATGTGAAATGGACACTCAAACATGGTTAAAATGAAACTTTTTATGTTATGTGTGTGTGTGTCTGACTCAGTCGTGTCTGACTCTTTGTGACCCCATGGATTGCAGTCCTCCAGGCTACTCTGTCCATGGGATTCTCCAGGCAAGAATACTGGAATAGGTAACTATTCCCTTCTGCAGAGGTTCTTCCCAACCCAGGAATCAAACTGGGTCTCACACATCGCTGGCAAATTGTTTACCATTGGAGCCACCAGGGGAACCCTATGCTATATGTATTTTATCATAATCAGGGGAAAAAACGCCCAAGTTGGTCTGAGAACAAAGGTGACATTGTAGGACTCAGGATCCCGAGGGTGCCCACTGCGAAAACAGGAGTGGAGTTGGCAGAGAGTTCTAGCCCCCGATCACCAGCCTGGAGCCAGGAACAGAAGTCCTGAGACCTTGAGTGGCTGCCCGGGTCTCAGAACCCACTGAGGTGCCCCCCCCCCCCCCATCCCAGGCCATGTGTGGCTTCCATGTCCCCACTTTACCAATTCATTTTAATTCCCTTTAACATTTAACTTTTTTTTTGACAACTGTAGCAATTACTTCAAGTCCATGGGCGGCACTCAACTTGAGCTAGGAACAGGGAGTAAACACTTGACACAGCAGAGCGCATCTAACGGATGAGACATTGGCCATAAAAGCTTCCGACAGTGCCCCAGCCCAGGGCGGGGTTGGTCCAGGCGGATTCCAGAGTCGGGAGCTCCAACTCCCTTGGGGAACCGAGAGCAAACGCCAGGTTTTTACCGGAATCTGATTTTTTTTTTTTAAATCTTGTCAATAAATTCACATCTGACAGACAAAAGCACTACGTGGTCAAGTGGAAAGTAACAAGAGACAGTGAAAGTATCACTGTTGCCCAAAGTCAGGCTTCCTGATGAAAACACCTGGGAGGTCTGTTACTTAAATTCAGGTAAAGTAACATTATGCTCTGGGCTTCCCTGGTGGCTTAGAACTTAACGGTGAAGAATCCGCTTGCAATGCAGGAGACCTGGGTTCGATCCCTGGATTGGGAAGGCTTCCTGGAGAAGGAAATGGCAACTCATTCCAGTATTCTTGCCTAGAAAATTCCATGGCCAAGAGGAGCCTGGAGGGCTACAGTCCATGAGGTTGCAAAGAGTCGGACACGACTGGGCGACTAACACTAACAGCATTATGCTCAGGAAAGAAGCCAGTCACAGAACAAATGTTGCATGATTTGCAGGATCCCACTTGCACGAGGTCTGTAGAAGAGTTAAATCCACAGAGATAGACAGTAGGATGGCAGGTGAAAGGGGCTGGGGGAGAAGGATGGGGAGTAAGTGTTTAAAGGGGACAGATATTCAATTTGGGAAGACAGAAAAGTTCTGGGAGGCTTCCCTGGTAGCTCAGTGGTGAAGAATCTGCCTGCCAATGGAGGAGACGTGGGTTAGATCCCTGGTCTGGGAAGATCCCACGTGCCTTGGGGCAACTAAGCCCATGTACTTTTGCTACTAGCTACTGAGTCTTTGCTCTAGAGCCCACAATCTGCAACTACTGAGCCCACGTGCCACAACTACTGAAGCCCGATCACCCTACAGCCTGTGCGCCACAACAAGAGAATCCATCGCGGTGAGAAGCCCATGCACCGCAACTAGAGAGAACCCTTGCAGCAGTGAAGACTCCGCACAGGCAAATAAATCCATAAAATAAAATAAAAGTTCTGAACGTGGATGGTAAGGTTGGTTGCACAGCAATGTGAATATGTTTATTGCCACTGAGAAATGGTTAAGAGAGTTTTATGTTACATGCTGGTTACCCCAAATTTTTTAAAAGTGGGGGAAAAAAAAAAGAGTGAATTGGAGCAGCACTATGGCCCCTTTTGCCCCATGGAAGAGCAGGCTCTGCCCTTCAAAACCTGGGATGGCTCCTTCCAGTTGTGAGAAGTTAAAGGTCAGACACTGCAATACTAAAATAACAATAACAGAACTGATAATAGTTATTATTGTTATTCTACTGGGAAATGGAGCGAACCGTGACCAAAATTTATACGGAAATTTATATGGAAGAACAAAAGTCCATGGCCAGCTAAAATGGGCAGGGATGGGGAAGCTGGCTTAGGAGAGAGTAACACGTCTTCCCAAAGCCACAATGATGAAATCAGTGGGGCATGGCTGCAGGAAGAAACAGGCCAAAGGAGGTGAGGAAAGAGGGCTCAGAACAGACCCCAGGTGAGAGAACTGGGGGTAAAACAGAAGGGTTTGTGCTCACTCGGACCCGTCCGACTCTTGGCAGCCCCGTGGACTGTAGCCCACCAGGCTCCTCTGTCCACGGGTTTCGTAGGCAAGAATATTGAAGTAGGTGGTCATTTCCTTTTCCAGGGGATCTTTCCAGATCAAGGATTGAGCCGAGCCGCCTGCACTGGCTGGGGGATTCTTTTCCCACTGAGCTACCTGGGAAGCCCAGTAGCAGCCCTGCGAGGAGCAAGCCTACGGGCACCATTTTTCCAAAAGCATTTGGTCCCTTCGTGTCTCTGTGTCACATTTTGGTAATTCTCAGAATATTCCAAGCTTTTTCATCATTATTGTATTTTTTATGGTGACCTGTGATCCTTGATGTTACCACGGCAAAAAGATTATGACCGCTGAAGGCTCAGCCGATGGTTACCACTTTTTAGCAATAAAATATTTTAAAAATTAAGGTATGAACATTATCTTTTTAGACATAATTCTATTGCACACTTAATAGGCTACACTAAAGTGTAGACATAACTTTCATATGCTCCTGGAAACCAAAAAAATTGTGGGACTCGCTTTATTGTGGAGGTCTGGAACGGAACCCACAAATCTCTGGCATATATTTGAAAATTGCTAAACGATCAGGTCTTAAAAGTTCTCATCACAGAAAAAAAAATTATAACTGTGAGGTGATGGATGTTAAACCTACTGTGGTAATCATTTTTGTGATATATACATACATATATATACATGTATATATTGTCACATATATATGTATATACTGTAATCATCAATGTGTACACCCTCAACTAATATGAATAGTATTACTTATAATAATATATAATAAGTAGGAACTGGCAACCCGCTCCAGTATTCTTGCCTGGGGAGTCCCATAGACAGAGGAGCCTGGTAGGCTACAGTCCATGGGGTTGCAGAGTCTGGCACGACTGAGCAACTTGGCACAGCACAGTCAACTAATATAATTTATGTGTCAATCATACCTAGATAAAGTGGAAAGAATTAAAAATTTAAAAAAGAAATCTGCGATGAGTTTAATGATATCAGCATTAATAGTTAAAAAACTCTTGGTTAAAACTATTTTGTTAAAAAAAACCTCTAAAAAATTTTTTTAAAAAATAAAAAGAACAAAAACCTCTTAAATTTAACTGACAGAAGAATAAAGGCTGTGGAGAGACAGTCATGATGCCAAAAAGAGGCAAAGAATTATCTTTTTTAGAATAGGCGTTAACAAAACTTTTCTGTCCTGGGCCAGATAATAAATATTGTGGGTCATAAGGTCTGTTGCAAACAATACAAAAGCAACCCTAGACGGTATATAAATGAATGGGCCTGGCTGTGTTCTAATAAATTTGAATTTCATATAATTGTGCTAATATCACACAATGTTACTCTTTTCACATTGTTCAACCATTCAAAAACACAGAAGCCACTCTGAGCCCATGGGCTGTATGAAAACAGGCAGCAGGCTTCATATGGCCCTGCAGGCTATAGTTCGCCAACCCCTATTCTGCAAAATGCCAGGAACATCTCAAAATTGCCCCAAAGAAAAAAATAGAGGCTACGACTAAGCGAGTCACTAAAGAGACTTGTGAAACATATATGGTGATGCTCAACCCCACCAGAAATCAAAGGAATGCTATTTAAAACAAGGAGATACCACCTTGGACAACTGCATCAAATGAGCAAAAAAATCAGAGCGATAAATAAACTTTATGTTACTGT